GAGATAGCAAATCGACCCAGACCAATCAGAGCGGCAAGCATTTCACTTTCGAGCCAATCACGAGTGTTCTTACCACAGTTTTCGAACCGGTCGTCGCCGCCAGCCCAGGCACGTTGTACATGGCAAGCCGTGCGCAGGCCTCAGGCCGAGGCGCTAACGCGACGTCGCTGTAGGTATGGCGCAGCCTATCCGTGCGTGACGAGCCACCGAGTCGGCCCTTGGGCTGATGGCTCAACTCCAAAAGGAGATACTACCAGCGCCTGGGCATCCACGCGCGCCATCGCGTGTACGAGGGCTTGCACCGTTCGTAGGTAGCCTTTGGAGGCGGCGAAATGCAACGCCGTATAGCCCGTCTATGTACATGTGTCGTTGTGCAAAACCTGAATCACCACAGTAGGCGGTACCCCGGGTTCTGTTACGTGGACGTTGGCACCCACCGTGGCCAGTAGCTCGACTGCATCGACGTGCTTGGCCACAGCCGCGCACCAAAGTGGCGTGCACCCGTCCTGCACGTCGAGTTCGGTTGCATACGTTTTCGCTGCAAGTACCTTTGCCTGGCTCTCGCGCCGCGGTCGAGAGGGCCGAGATCATGGCGCAAGCCCATCGAGACTGCCAGAGCTCCTGCGCAGCAAAGCGGTACCTCAAAACGACGACGAGCAAGGTAGGGCGCGTCGCGGCGCGTATGATATAGCGGTCACCAATGTAGGTGGCGCGCTCTTCGCCAAGCATATCACAGCCACATGTGAGCGCAGCGCGTACCAGCGGGCGCATGCAAGCAGCAGCTACGGCGCATTGACGACTCAACCCACGCTCAAGCCATCTGACGAGCTCAACGACCCAAAAGAGCTCGCGCGCTTGCTCGGTTCGTGCCACATGAAGTCTACGGCCGACCTAGTGCGCAAGGTGCGGTTGGAATACATGTGCTTTTGCTTATGTGGCCGCGTAGGACGAGATGTTGCGAGCAAAGGCCAGGGCAGACATGGCCAAGGCGTCGCAGGCGCGAACCATGTCGTTCTCAAGTGTGGAAGCCAGTGTGGAAGAGTGGAAGCGCAAGGTCCAGGCGGAGAAGGAGGCGAAAGAGAAGGCGTTGGCGGCCGAACGCGCTGCCGAGGCGGCGCGCCAAGCCAAAGAGGACGAAGCGACTGCCAAAGCCAAAGCGGAAGCCGAGGCAGAAGCGAACGAAGAGGCAGCCAAGGCAGAAGCCGACGAAAAGGAGGCAAAGGCCAGCGCGGAGGCCAAGGCAAACGACGACGCCAAGACCAAGGCAGCGGCCGAAGCCCAAGCCAAGGCAGACGCTGCGCAGAAAGCCAGCGTCCCAGCGGCAAAGGAGCCTCATGTGCTCGAAAGCGAGGCGCGA